AGTTCCCCCATTCCCCGTTCCCCAGTTCCGTTCCCCCGTTCCTCCGTCCCCCTTTCCCCGTTCCCCCGTTCCCAGCCCTGCTGCCGCCTTTGTCCTGCCTGGGAGCGTTTCTGCCTCTCCCCCCGTTCCCTCAGCCCAGAACCAGGGAAGATCTTCCCAAGAGGTCAAAACCCAGGATTTTCTCACAGGTTTGGTTACAGCAGCACTGGTTTGTGGGATAAAACGGATAAGGAGGGTTGAGCTTCAATTTAAATGGTTTTAAAGGGGATGCTTTAAAATACCCGTTAAATTGGGAATAATGAGCTTGGAATACAATTCCTGCTTTTAACCAATGTTCCCTGGAGCTGCGCTCAGCTCCGAGCTGAGGATTTGGTGACTTTACCTTGGAAAATTTCCCTTATCAAAAGCACAGGAGGAATAATTTTGGGAAGATCCACGGCTTTCTGCAGCTGAATCTTCTCAAAGAGCCCGCAATAAAATAAATCTGGAAAATAAATAAAGCAAATATTAAATAACGAAGCAGCGCTCATCTGAACCTCCTGCAGCGTTCATTCCCTCATAAACAAACCAAAGAGATTATTTGTTGCACCTGCAGCAGGTAATTTAATATTTCCTCCAAAAATCCACTTGGTTTTGGTTGTGTCGTGAATCTGCTGGGCTTAACAAAACTTCTGCTTCTCCCCCCTCGGCAGACACCGTGTTTATCATGTTTATTCCATGCATGTGTGATAAATCCACGTGTGATGAATCCAGTGCTGCCTCTAGCTCAGCTGGAATAGCCATAAATACCATTTCTGGAGATCAGGTTTAGATTTACCAGCGTGCCTTGTTCAGAGCTTTAATAGAACTGGAAAGATTTTAACTTTATTTATGCAGCTGTGGAGGCCTTGGCTGACAGTTAAATGGCCACAATAAATTATTCCTGAGGAGGACACAGATCCCAGAGCTGGCAGAAGGAAAAAGTTGGTTGCCCTTGCAGCAAAAAAAAAACAAACCACAACTTAAAAATTATTTGGAATCAAAGAATCTTAAGAATTCTTCTGGATCAGAGGAGGATGGATCTGTTTGGGAACTGACTCTGGAAAGAAACTGAAATTAGCACTCCCAGAAATGGGTTACGCTCCAGAGGATCAGTGTGGGGCTTCCCATCTTCCCAAAATTCTCCTGTCCCCGTTCCCTCCGTGCTGGCTGATGCTGTGGCCAGATCACACCTGGGATAGCTCTGATTTTGGGGGGTTTGACCTTGAAATCCATCGAAAGTCACTTTATTCTTTAAAGTTTCTCTTTCACTGGTAGTGGAGGGCAGTGGGAAGGGAGGTCTGGCTTCCTGTGGTTATAAAATCAGTTCTGATGGGGCAGAGAGGGCTCCAGGAGAGCTGGAGAAACGAGTCTGGGCAGTGGAATGGTTTGGAGTGGGAGAGATCTCCAATCCCACCCCATGGGGATGGCATGGCAGGGACACTGCCACTGCCCCAGGCTGCTCCAGCCCCATCCAGCCTGGCCTGGGGCTCTGCCAGGGAATGTGGCCCAGATTCCTGCAGATTCTGGGGATCCCCCCTGCCCCCCTGCCCTGCAGGTCCCTGTGGGATCGGGCTGTGTTCCCTGGGAAGGACTCGCTTCCAGGCAGGACAATCCGTGCAGGCTCCTCCTGCACCAGCAGAGGGATCCCGAGCCCTGCAGGAGAGGCAGAAATCAAACCCTCTGCCACGTGCTGAGCCACATCTGAGCAACTGCAGCCAGGGGAGAGGCCCAGCCATGCCTGTTCCTTGTCCCAGGGGATCCAGCCATGCCCTGTTCCCATCCTTGTCCCAGGGGATCCAGCCCTGTTCCCTTGTCCCCATCCATCTCTTGGCCCAGTCCATGCCCTGTTCCCATCCATCCCTTGTTCTCTTGTCCCACGAGGCCCAATGTGATAGATTGGCAATTTTTAGCTTGTGCTTTAAAAGCACTACACCCATCCATTCCCTGTTCCACCCATTCCCTGTCCCCATCCATGCCCTGTTCCACCCATTCCCTGTTCCCATCCATGCCCTGTTCTATTCCCTGTTCCCATCCATGCCCTGTTCCATCCATTCCCTGTCTCACTCCCTGTTCTCTGTTCCCTGTCCCATTCCCTATTCCCACCCGTGTCCTGTTCCATTCCCTGTTCCCTGTTCCATTCCCTATTCCCTGTTCCCATCCATTCCCTGCTCCATTCCCTGTTCCATTCCCTGTTCCCACCCGTGTCCCGCTCCATGTCCCATTCCCCGTTCCCACCCATGTCCTGTTCCATTCCCATTCCCTGTTCCATTCCCTGTCCCATTCCCCGTTCCCACCGTGTCCCGTTCCCTGTCCCATTCCCCGTTCCCACCGTGTCCCGTTCCCTGTCCCGTGTCCCATTCCCTGTCTCGTGTCCCGTTCCCTGTCTCGTGTCCCATTCCCTGTCCCATTCCCCGTTCCCTGTCCCATTCCCCGTTCCCACCGTGTCCCATTCCCCGTTCCCTGTCCCACTCCCCGTTCCCACCGTGTCCCGTTCCGTCTCAGGGGGGCTGACGAACGGCAGTGGCCGTTACATCTCGGCGGCGCCGGGCGCGGAGGCCAAGTACCGCAGCGCGAGCAGCGCGTCGAGCCTGTTCAGCCCCAGCAGCACGCTGTTCCCGTCGTCGCGCCTGCGCTACGGCATGTCGGACGTCATGCCCTCGGGCCGCAGCCGCCTGCTCGAGGACTTCCGCAACAACCGCTACCCCAACCTGCAGCTGCGCGAGATCGCCGGCCACATCATGGAGTTCTCGCAGGACCAGCACGGATCCAGGTGGGCATGGCTCGGCTCTCTGCAGCTCTGCTTGCTGCAGCTCTGCGTTCTGCAGTTCTGCTTCCTGCAGTTCTGCTTCCTGCAGTTCTGCTTCCTGCTGCAGTTCTGCTCTCTGCAGCTCTGCTCTCTGCAGCTCTGCTTCCTGCACCTCTGCTCTGTGCAGTTCTGCTCTCTGCACCTCTGCTCTCTGCTGCAGCTCTGCTTCCTGCAGTTCTGCTTCCTGCAGCTCTGCTCTCTGCACCTCTGCTCTCTGCTGCAGCTCTGCTCTCTGCACCTCTGCTCTGTGCGGTTCTGCTTCCTTGCACTTCTGCTTCGTGCACCTCTGCTCTCTGCAGCTGTGCGTTGTGCAGCTGTGTTTTTGCAGCTGTTTTCTTGCAGCTCTGGTGTTTTGCAGCTGTGGATTTTTGCAGCTGTTTTCCTGCAGCTGTTGATTTTACAGCTCTGGTTTTTGCAGCTGTGGGTTTTTTGCAGTTGCATTTTGTGGTTGAGTTTCACACTTGAGTTTCACACTTGAGTTTCACACTTGAGTTTCCTGTCGCTTCCCAGAGCTGAGGCAGACCAGGGAACAAGCAGGAAAAGTCAATCCAGCGTCACACCTGGAATCCCCAAGGATTCCAATTCCTGGCCCTGCCCAGACACCCCAACAGTGCCACCCTGAGAGCGCTGCCCAAGGCTGCTCCAGGAGTTCCCCTCCAAGAGGAGCTTCCCTGCTCTGTGCTTTGCTCACTCATCCCCTGGCACAGCTTAATTCAGTTTAAAATCCAAGATTTGCTGCGTTGTTCCTTGAGATTTACTTCTCTTGAGATGAAGATTGCAACGTGTGGCCACCCCAATGGGATGGCTGGATAAAACATCTGTGTTTGCACAGATCTGCAAGAATCATCAGTCAAATCTCTTAAATTTGGATATTGAACTTGTAACAGGACTCTGAGGTTGATGGAAGTGCTTCATCTCCCCAGCACAACGAGATTGGTGGTGGTTTCTGGAGCACTGGGTGAGGCTTTGGGAGGGGGGGAATGAGCTGGCATCACTCCAGGGCTGCTTTTCAGGTTTATTCAGCTGAAACTGGAGCGTGCCACCCCGGCAGAGCGTCAGCTGGTGTTCAACGAGATCCTGCAGGCAGCCTATCAGCTCATGGTGGATGTCTTCGGCAATTATGTCATCCAGAAGTTCTTTGAGGTGAGTCTGCCCTCCCCTGAAGGTTTTCCTGGGGTTCCTGCTGGCCTGAGGTGTTGGATGAGCCTGGAAATCCCTGCCCTAAAATCAGCACTGACACCATCTCCTCCCCACAAGCTGCTGGATCTTTTCCTGCTGGGGTGACTGAGGGTGGGACTCAGATTCACCCCACTTTGGGAAGCAAAATGTGTGTGCAGGAGGTGGGAATTTCCCATGGAAAGTGGAAGGGGTTGGGATGAGCTGAGCCCTGAGGTCCCCTCCAGCCCAAACCTCTGTGGGATTCAGCGAGGTGCAGGTCCAGCAGAACTTGTCCAGGGTGCTGTCCTGAGCTGTCAGTGCTCCTGATTTGGGAACAAGGAGGGGCTTGTGCAGTAACAGCAGCTGCTGGAGAAGTGTTGTGTCCCTGGTGTGGTCTGGTCCTTCACCAGCTGCTCCTGGTGCTTCTGCCCAGTCACTGGGAGCCAGAATCACAGAATGTCCTGAGCTGGAAGGGACCCACGAGGGCCCAGCCCAGCCATCCCAGCCTGTGCATGCCTGGGAGCGTTGGCCCAGCCCTCCTGGAGCGTTGCCCTGGGCAGGGCTGGTGGCCTGGCAGGGTCACCCTGCTGCCTGCAGCCCCTTTGGGATGTGCCAGGCGGGCACAGAACAGGTCTGGCTGTGCCAGCGCCCCTTGGCCACGGGGCTGATCTGTCCCCAGGGTGGGAGGGCAGTGCCAGTGGCCAGGGGAGGGGTTTGTCCCTGCAGTGACTTTGTCCTGTCCCAGTTTGGCAGCCTGGAGCAGAAGCTGGCACTGGCAGAGCGCATCCGTGGCCACGTGCTGTCCCTGGCGCTGCAGATGTACGGCTGCAGGGTGATCCAGAAGGCCCTGGAGTTCATCCCCCCAGACCAGCAGGTAATTGTAAGTTTCAATTTTAACTTTCTTCTTGATGTTTGACGTTCCTGAGCCGTCCCCTCCCGTCCCTCCCGTGTTCCCTGGGTTTGGTTCCTGGCATGTTTGTGGTGTTCCTTGTGCGTGACGAGTCCGTGCCACCTTGCTTGTCATTGTCACCTCCTCGTTCCCCTGCCCTGCCCATGGGGCTGCTTCTCTGTGTAGGGAAAACTGAGAATGAGGGTGAATTAGAAGAGATTTTTAATTCCTTTGAAGGGTTTTGCCTTTAATATTCAGCGAGTTATTGCAATGTGGGTCAGCATCCCACACTCCTGCGGGGAGATGGATGAGGAGCTCCTCGTTCTGGCTTGGGAGGGATGTGGCTGATAGCCCCACTCAGAGCTCATTAATAAAGCACATCCTCCAGGGCTTTAGCAGCAATGAATTGAGATGAAAAATACGCTGGGCAGGCTGGCTTGGGGATGGTTGTAACAGGAATCTCAATGTAGGTTATGAAATTAAAAATATGGAAGAGGTTTTAGGAGCGCTCCTTTCCTTCAGGCTGAGCCCGAGCCAAGTGTGTCAGCAGGGCGGTGCCTGGGCTCCACCACTGCTGCTCCAAGGGTTCAGTGTCTCCTCCAGAGTGGCATTTCTGAGTCCTCAGTGCTCCCAAAACTCCTGGCTTTGATTCAGTTACAAAACTGAACTCACCCAGATCTCGTCAGAGCATTAAAATGCCCCAGAATGTCATTTCTGTTTGTGAGTGAAGATTCCACCCTGCACGTGGGCTACATCAGTCGTGGCTGTAAAACCCCAGCAAGTTCTGAGCCCTGTTTTGGGGACAGGTGACCCTGATACCCAAAGAGTTCATGAACTTTGTGCACTTTAGATCTGCTTCTCTTAGAGGGGAGCAGAGAGGAAAACAGGGCATGCACAGGAAATCCGTTGGCATTTCTTCAATTTGGATTCTTGGGAGAGGATGAGCTCCATCCTCCTGCAACCCCAGGATGGTTTGGCTTGGGGTGGAGCTCCAGGCTGCTAAGGGGGTGTCAGGGCAGGGTTTGCTCATCTCCTGGCAGCTCTGGGATGCTGCTGGTGCTTTCTGTTTGCTGTGTGTCCTCCCGTAGAACGAGATGGTTCGGGAGCTGGACGGGCACGTGCTCAAGTGCGTCAAGGACCAGAACGGGAACCACGTGGTGCAGAAGTGCATCGAGTGTGTGCAGCCTCAGTCCCTGCAGTTCATCATCGATGCCTTCAAGGGCCAGGTGAGCTCCTGGAACAGCCCCAGAGTGGCTGGGGCTTCATTGGCAACTCTCAGCTTCATCATCATCAGCTTCATCATCAGCTTCAGCAGCAGGGTCGATGCAGCCACGTGAGACAGCCCAGAAACTCCTTGCTCACATCCCTGTTACCATTTCTGGGCAGATCTCTCAGAGCAAAAACCTCCTTGCCCGAGCCAGTTCTCCTGGAATATTGAGTATTTGTGAGTGATGAGGGAAACTGAGGCTCTCCCTGATCCACCTTCCCAGTGAGCAGAGCTTTGTGCTGCTGAGGTGCCTCAGTCAAGTCTCAGCTTCATCAATTCCTTAATTTTCAGCACTTTTGTAAAATCCCAGCAAGTTCTGAGCCCAGAGCTGATCCCCTTTTAATGGCAGGTGACCCTGATAACCCCAAGAATTTGTGAATAATGTGCATTTTAGATTGATTTCTCCTTGAGGGGAGAGGAAAATGGGGAATGCAAAGTGTCATCATGATCCTGGTGAGGAATGCTGATTCCCAAGGGCCTCAGAGCAGGGAAAAAGCAGGTATTTCATCTACAAGTGGGCAATTGTTCTTGCCTCTCTTCATTTTTTTGCTTTTTTATTGCTGTCCTCTCCTGAATTGATGTCCTGGGTATCAGTTTTGTCTGGCCTCAGCTCCCGGTACAAAAGTGCTGCTTTTTGGGTGTTCCCAGCCTCAATTTAATTGGCTTTTTGCAGGGGCACTCTGAAGCTTTGAGGATTTGCCCCAGGGATGTGAGGACAGGCAGAGGCAGGAACCAGGAGCTGGGAGTCCTGGGGAAGTGGGGTTTGGTTGGTTGGGTTAAAACAAGCAGGATTCTGGCTGGAAGCTTGTTCCTGCTGAGAGTTCAGCCTTGGATTTTCCACTGGGAGTTTGGGAAGGCAGAAACATCTCTGGGAGCTCAGCTGATGGTACTGACATTTCCTTGACCAGTTGTCCCAGTTTTATCTGAACCTTCACACGGCAGATTAAACTTAGCACCTCCAGATGATTTTTTTCTGCAGTTAATTGCACTCCAAGCCCTGTTTCCCTGCAGGGTTTACTCACCAGTTATTAAAAATGTGTGACTGTTGATTTAAACTTCAGTGCTTGGATTTGCTGCTGTTGTTAAATCAAAGCAGCCAAACGGGACTTTGTGCTTCAGACAGAAAATGGAGCAGCAATAACAAAATGTGTCATGTTCTCACCCACAGATCTGCTAATCCATTAGAAATGAGAAAGATTCTTTGTTGTCACTTCTCCTAAGCACTGTTAAGGCATTTAAACAAATCCAAACAGTTGAGAAAAACCTTTTGCTGGGCATTTTTAACTTTTCTGGCTCGTAGCATTTCTTAAATAGCTCAAAATCCGTGCTGGCAAACAACATGCTGGAATTACTGGGGAAGAATAACCGAGCTTCCAGCAGTGCTTGGTTGTTCCAGGGTTTGTTTTTTATGAATCAAGAGGTTTTACCATTTTTTTTTCCCAAGCTGAGGCTTCCCCAGGTTGTGCCTGGGATGTCGGTGGGTGTTGGGTGCAGGATCCTGCAGGGATCCTGGAGGGTTTTTGGGCTGGCCAAGGACTGATGGCACCTTGCTGGCTGTCCCCTGTCCCCAGGTGTTCGCGCTGTCCACGCACCCCTACGGCTGCAGGGTGATCCAGAGGATCCTGGAGCACTGCCTGCCCGAGCAGACCCTGCCCATCCTGGAGGAGCTCCACCAGCACACGGAGCAGCTGGTGCAGGTCAGTGGGGACAGGGCTGGGACATCCCCAGGTCACTGCTGAGGGCATTCCCACCTGGAGCAGGGCTGGGAATGGGCACAGACAGGAATGGGCACTGCTGAGGGCATTCCCACCAGAGCAGGGCTGGGAATCAGCACAAGTGCAGGGGTGTTGTCACCTCCGTGTCCTGCTGCTCCATCACTGGGGGGGTGCCAAGAGCTCTTACTCCAAGGAAAAGGAGGTGCCAAGTGATGGGAATTCTTGGGAAGATTCTGTGCTCACCCTGCTCCTGGCTGCCCTCCCTCCTCCCTGCAGTCCTTGGGAGGAGCTGCTGGGCCAGGCTTTGACGCGGATTTTTGGGGATAAAGCAGCAAAGCCGCTCCTGCTCCGTTCCCAAATTCCCACTCCAGTGGTGGGGCAGGAACTGGGCCAGTTCCCGAGTCCTGTGTGCTCCCTGGGAACTGGGAGGAGGCTGGGCATGGACACCAGGCCATGGTACCCTGAACTGGAACAGAAATATCCTGAGGTCTGGAAATTGCCAAGGTGAGAACAGTGAGCCATGGCCAGACCCACGGCCCAGCCCTCCAGGACATGGGGTTGGGTAGGTTTGAACCTGGAGAGAGTGGAAAAAACTGGGAATAAAGCAAATATTGACATTTCCTGTGCAAGGACAGCATTTTGAGTTCTGTAAATAATACAAATTCTACAAAAATGCATTATTTTACCCCCTGGTACCACCCTAGAACAGGCATCTTTGCAGAAATAGAAAGGATTGAGCTGATTTGTACATTAAACATTAGAATTAATCTTCAGTTGAACTTTTAACTCTGAAAGCACTTTGGGAATCAGTTTGCTGGGAATGTTTCTAGTCCATTTATCCAGCTGGTGTGACGGGCTGCTGCTGTCTCCCAACCAGGATCAGTATGGGAATTACGTTATCCAGCACGTCCTGGAGCACGGCCGGCCCGAGGACAAGAGCAAGATCGTAGCAGAGATCAGAGGCAACGTGCTCGTGTTGAGTCAACATAAATTTGCCAGGTAGGAATCCCTCCCTGAAGTTTTCCCCCTGGGAGCAGGGACACGTGGAAGAGCTGCAGAGGACTTAGGGGATTTTGGGAATCCTGTGAGAAGTGAAAAATGACTTTTTCTTCACGAAAAGATGTTACAATGGTTATGAGCTGGGGTGTGCCAGCCAGTCTGCCGTGGAGGAGGATGGAGATGTGGAAGAGCAGCTCTGATCCAAGCTCCCAGATTTAACCAGGAATTCTTGCTTGGTTTGGTTGATCTGATTTATTTTCACGGGGTTGAAGCTGTCACTACCCCGTGGGTGATAAGAACATTCACTGCCCCGGGATGCTGTGTCCAGCCACGGGGGGATTTGGGAAATCAGTGCAGCAGCAATCCCTCCCACTTTTCCCAGTGGGATTTCCACTCCCAGCATCATTCCCAGCCTTCTGCTGTGTCCCTCTTGAGTCACACCCCAGGAATCCTCCACGGGGAGCTGCAGCATTCCCAGATGCTGCAGAGCCACACGTGGGTGGAGCAGAGCCCAGGTATTTGTGCTTCCCACGAGTGGGAATCCCTGCTGGATGTGCTTTCAGCCCCTGGAACACGAAGGCTGAGCTCTTCAAAGGCTCAGAATTCCCCCTTCCTCTGATGAGAATACCCATGGACACGAGGGAAGCAGAGCTTTAATGAGAATCAGGAGAGCGTGGTCTTCACGTTGTTATTTCAGGTTCTTCCTCCCTGCTTTGCCTCCCTCTTTATTCCCAAACTCCTTCCCAGCTGGAGCATTAATTAGTGCAGGTTCCCCCGGGCTGAGCCAGCCTGCTGGGAGCCAGGCAGGGCTGTGGGATGAGCCCAGCCCTCAGTCCCCTTCCACACCCCCACTTCTGGCTCCCTCAGAGCCCAGGCTGCTCACTGATACATTCAGGAATTCTGGAAATCCTCTGCTTGGCTGGGGGTTTTCATTCCTGAGTGAGCATTTCCGTGTTGTCGTAACCTTGGGTGTCCATTCCAGCCTGGAGAAAATCACAACAGCCACTTGGCTTCTGTGCTGGGAGAGTGGGCACTGACCTGAACGGGTCCAGTTCCCAAATTCCCTGATCCAATTCCTGAATTCCCAGTGAATCCCAAGGCACAGACTGGGGTGAGATAGGAACTGATCCAGTTCCCAAATTCCCAGTGAATCCCAGGGCACAGACTGGGGTGAGATGGGAACTGATCCAGTTGCTGAATTCCCACTGAATTCAAAGGCACAGATTGGGATGAAATAGGAACTGATCCAATTCCCGAATTCCCACTGAATCCCAGGGCACAGACTGGGATGAAACACGAGCCTGTCCCAGTCCCAAACCCCACTATCCCAATTCCCGTGTGCCATTGCCGAGCTGTGCCAGCCCCTCCGTGTCCTGCCTGTCCCCAGGGCGGCGCGGGTGCCATCCCTGGGGCCGGTGCCATCCCTGGGGTTGGTGACAGCCCCCAGAGCCGGTGACAGCCCCCGGAGCCGGTGACAGCCCCTGGAGCCGCTCCCTGTGTGGGTGACAGCCCCAGGGCGGGTGACAGCCCCCGGAGCCGGTGACAGCCCCCAGGGCTGGTGACAGCCCCCGGAGCCGGTGACAGCCCCCAGAGCCGCTCCCCACGCGGGTGCCACCCCTGGGGCCACTGGGAGCCCTCGCAGCCGCTCCC